TTGTCCACTTCAATGTGTTTCGTCCTATCATGAAGGACTGGATTAGCAGCAATATTGATGGCAGCTTTATTGTCACAGTAGAGTGACATAGGATTGCTCACTGCAAAACCYARTTCACCTAAYARATTTMTTATCCACATGATTTCAGCAACCCCATGAGACATTGCTCTATATTCTGCTTCAGCACTAGATCTAGCCACCACACTTTCTTTTTTACTTCTCCAAGTGACCAGGTTTCCTCCTACAAAGGCACAATACCCACTGGTAGACTTTCGGTCATCGACTACTCCTGCCCAATCAGCATCAGTATATACTTCCACCTTTAAGTGACCATGTTTCTRGAACAACAAACCAGCTCTGAGAAACTTCTTGAGGTATCTAAGGATCCTCTCTGCAGCTTCAAAGTGAGTTGTCCTAGGGTTGTGCATGAACTGACTAAGGACACCCACTGCATAAGCAATATCAGGCCTGGTCATAGACAAATACAAGAGTCTCCCTACGAGTCTCTGGAACTTCTTCACATCTTTCAAAAGCTCTCCCTGACTGTCTCCCAGCTGATGATTAGATTCAATTGGTGAGTCAATTGGTATTACCCCCAACTTGCCTGTATCTTCTAGTAGACCTAATAATACTTCCGTTGGGAAATAAAGATGCCCTTGTGAGAGCGGACGACTTCAATTCCAAGGAAATAACGTGAGGGGCCTAATGTTTCACCTCAAATTGAGTGGCTAAGAATTTTTTTAGTCTCCGTATTTCAGCCTCCCAATCTCCTGTGATCATTATGTCATTCACATACACAATAAGAGCCGCAATTTTCCCTTCACCTCTTTTCACAAATAGAGTGTGATCTGACTGGCATTATTTGAACCCCATCTCTTGAACTGCTAAATGGAACTTACTAAACCAAGCCCGAAGTGATTGTTTCAACCCATATAAAGATTTTTTTAACCTACACACCTTTTGTTCATTGCCTTTGGCACAGAAACCTAGAGGTTGGGTCATGTACACTTCCTCTTCCAAGTCACCATTCAAGAAAGCATTTTTTTATGTCCAATTGGT